TGCCTTCAATATAGCTGGATAATAGCATATTTTCCTCATATGCAATACACCACCCCTCCCCACCCCAGCTGCTGGAAACTGCGGTGCATATTACATGCGAGAAGTACAGCAAGAGCAATTTCTGCCCCTTACTGGAAAAGTGGAAGTAAAATCTGCCCACAACAAACAGGGAGCAGAACATGCTTCTTAGCTGCTGCTACTTGGCTGCTTCCAATGGAAGATGTTTCTTCCCCTTCATCTTACTTTTCAAGAAACAAGGTGTGCATTAGATTTTTCTGCATACATGCTGTGAAATATGGTACTTGCTTAAGTTTACAAGCCTTTTAGCTGTGCTGTATGCAGTTTAACATTGCCCTTCTCATCGGTGTGTCGCTCTTGGGAAAAGCTGTGCTTTATGGCTAGATCTTTGAATACAAGGAAGCAAGTTGCAGAAGTTCTGGCAGAGGAGAAGTCAAAGTCTTCTGACAGGTAACCAGCAGTCCTAAACCCTGCTAACCAGAGCAGATGTCCCCCGGAGGAATGCAAGGGAACCCGCAGACAGCAGGCACCTCATGGCTGGAGGAACAAGTTGCCTAGAGTGGGTCTGGGAAAAAACCAGACTAGACGCTCGATGACGATTGTAGGTAGAGGGAGTTTCCTCTTCTTCCCCCAGGGCTGCTTGCCACTCCAAGTAAAACTAGAGGCTTGACCCTTTGGTCAGTTAACTATACTCCACTGACAGCTGAACTCAGTGCAGACAGGTGACCTTCCATTATTCCCAACTGGCTTCTCATCAACCCAGGCAGAAGAGGTCTACAACACAGACCTACAACACAAGTCAAGTGTTTCCCTGATGCCGGGACATCTCAGACAACTGCAGTTTCCCCAAGAGATTTAGGACTGTTGCATGGGCCAGCACTGAGCAGAAGGCACAGAGAGCTCCTCAAAACAGGAAGATCTTTCAATCTTGGGCTAAAAAAACAACAAAACAAAACCACACACCAGACTTTTCCCGTAACATCAGCCATGTCTCCAATGACATCGTTTGCATTCCAGTCCCGCATTACTGAAGGCACTGGGAAATTTGCCAATGGTTTTGAAGGACATTGTACTGGGCTCTCACTGAATAAATAGCCACTGCTCCCCTGCCCGATATAAAGAGATTGTATTTTAGATCCAAAGGTGGGTCTAAAATACAAGCCTATCAGCACATAGCACCCCTGCACCTACATTTGTAGGAAACAAAAGGTGCTGCAAGTACCTGTGCACACTCTTATACACTCACTAGAGCATCATGTGCTGGTGTACTCACCTGTATGTGATCATGCCACACCTATTGGTTATTTTACATTTTTACATGGACTCAACTGTAAATAAAAATCACTAAAAGGTTGGACTGAAAGTACAGGCTCAAATGAAAAAGGGGCAAAAGGAAAAGCTCATGGGGGTAACACTGAAAAAAAAAAAAAAAGAGAGAGAACTAGAAGGAAAAAACAGATGTTCTTGGGAAAGTCAAGGGGGCCTGGTGATGAGCAAGGCAGGAGTCCTGGGTACAATGCCTGGCTCTGCCTTGGCCAGATCATTTCCTTTCTATGAGCCTTCATTTCCCTGCGCGCCTTTTGTCATCCATCCAATAAGCTCCTCAGGGCAGGGACTGTCTCTCCCTACAGGCGTGTACAAACCCAAGCCCAATAGGTTCCCCATATTGATTAGGTCCTCACGGCCCGTCTGCCACACCAATAATAAATGTCTACTCCTCTCAACAAATGCCTAGCTCAAAATGTCATGTGACCGGACCTCATCAAGAAATGATAGCCAGCATCCTGCGAGTTGGCCCCACGGCAGATCCATCCCCCTCCTCACTTCACCAGCAATCTGCAGGGGCCCCAAAACCCACAGTAATTTGGAGAACGAGGGTCTTAATTAAGTGGTGGCCCAGCGATGGCCGAAGCTTCCCCCCGAGCTCATTGCGACTGTGATCTCCAGGGAGTCGTTAGCAGAGATAGTAACAACAGGAGTGCTGAAAGCCCCTACCTCTTGCACGATGCTAGGTGCAGCACAAAAACAGAATGAAGACACCAACCCTGAAGAGCTTAATGTCTCAACGCGATTCAACCATGAGCCGAATGCAGCCAGGGCTTTGCAAGGACATGTTTACTGAGCAACTGGCATAGAAGATGTAGGGCCAAGAGGAACCAAGGGAGGGCACATCCAACCCCCTGCTCAAGGCAGGAACATCCCTGGGTAAGCCTTTCCACACATGGGCTTGGCTAATCTAGTCTTTAAAAAACTGCAACCCTCTTGCACAAATAAGCCTCAAGAAAAAAAGCCAAGAACCAGGGCCATAACTGCCCAAAAAAAACCTTATCATGCCATGGTGCCCTCAAACACGCCGCACTGCTCCACGCAGGCTACCTCCTTGCGCTGTGCCTGAGCAAGGGAGCTCTGCTCCATCCCATTTGGGGTAGCCTGTGTGGCACCATATGGCATATCTGAGGGTGCTACTACATGACATGGTAGGATGGTGAGACAGACACCCCTGAAAGTCCCCACGAGAACAAGCCCTTAGTGGTCTTGTCCCAGCTCTCTAAGTGTTGATAAGGTAGAAAGCCAAGACCTTGACCTTGACCCAGTATCATCTGGGAAGCCAGGACAGAGGTGATGCGTTTCAAGACAGCTTGCACCGCTAAGAAACACTGCCGCATTTTGTATTAGCTGGCATTTCCTCAGCATGGATGGCTTCATGCCCAGGCATGAATGTCTAGGTTAATAACTGAAAAATGCAGTAAAACATCCTCAACGTACCTGACTCCTTGAACTTTAGCAGCTTGGCAAAAGCCTTGAACACTGATGAAATACTGCAGGGAGATTTTTTATTACCGCTGAAACACTCCGTTAAACACATAATTGTATTAATTTTGAACAAAAACAGGTTTCTGGACGTCTCTGCCTTTATTATGTTAAAAGGGTTGGAACAAGTTTTGCTTTTTGTTATTTTAATTTGCTGTTAAGCAAACAACAGCCGCTCAATGTTATTAGAGCCATTTAACAAAAGGCGGGATGGGCACTCGGTTGTAAAAAAAAGACTAAGATCAGTTGGTAAAAAAAATAGGGGGAGGGATATCACAAATGGTCAACCTTTATGAGGCTCCAGTCAAAATGAATTTATAAAAGCATTAGGAAAAGGTCAACCTGGTGTTATAGATCAGATTGCCCAACAGATCAGTAGGTTGTCTGCAAGCAGGGACTGATGTGTTTGTAGTCATCTATACAATACCTATTGCTCAAAGGAAGTATAGCCCAGCAACTCGAGCAGGATCCAGGGCCTGTGGGGAAGCAAGTTCAAATCCCTACTCTGGAACAGGGCTCCTATTCCTGTACATCTATTACCGGTGCCTTAGTTGCACCTCTGTAAAACAGAAACACTAGCACTTCCCCAGCGCACAGGGCTGTTGCAGGAATAAACGCATTACACATTTAAGAGTGCTCAGAGACGCTGGTAACAGGCCCCACAAGCAGATTTTGTTAACATGTGCATGGCATCTATTAACTATAATACAGCCGAGGGAACTGGGCTTATTTAGCCTGCAGAAGAGAAGACCAAGGGGGATTAAATAGCAGCCTTCAGCTCCCTGCAGGGGGGCTGCAAAGAGGATGGAGCCGGGCTGTTCTCAGTGGGGGCAGATGACAGAAGGAGCAACGGGCTCAAGCTGCAGCAAGGGAGGTTGAATGTTTGGAAAAACTTTCACTAGGAGGGTGGTGAAGCAAATCTGGTAATCTAAAGAAGTTGTAGACTCCCCATCCTTGGAGGTTTTTAAGGCCTGGCTCAACAAAGCCTTGGCTGGGATGTAGTTGGGGCTGGTCCTGCTTTGAGCAGGGGGTTGGACTAGATGCGACCTCCCAAGCTCCCTTCCAGCCCAAATTTTCTGTAATTCTATAAGTGAAACCTTAAGGGCAAGCACAACTGCGATGTCCAACGGCAGCTCCGTGCTCCCATAACCAGCCACATCCAACTTGCTCGATTGTCAGGAGTCCAGCGTCATACCTTACACAGCTTACCCCCTAAACTCCTCACCGCCACCCCCCCATAGACATCACCAGCGGTTATACAGGTTGGCAAGCAGCATTTGGACCCTTTTACAAAGAGCGGTCAAGAGAAGTTAAAAGCCGGGGGCGGGCCAGCAATACTGTACAGCCCCACATTGACAGCTGCGCCTTCTAACATGGCTCAGATGCAATGCTACAGCCCAGCAGAGCAGCCCACTTTGGCTCTCCCACGTTTTATAGCATTGCAGCGGCACTGACAGTACAATCAGGGGGGAAGATTAACTCTGCTGCAAGGTGCTTCTCAGGGAGCCAGAGGCTCTCAGCACCTCAGACAGATGATCAGCCCTTTGCAGGGGTCGGGTCCCATGGGAGGGACAGGCTTGCAGCAGGTTCCTTGCAAGCTCCGACAGTCAGCGCTGAAGCCAGCAACAGAGCCGAGGGTGCAGATTGCCTCCATCACCCCCCAGAAACAGAGCGCACAGGGTCAAAGTCAGAGGTCCCCCCAGTATCATTAGGCTGGCCCTTCTTTTGCAGCAACAGGCTGGGGGAGGACGGGGACGACTCCATCAGCTCCAGAGGAACAGCTCATGGATGCCAGGATCCAGCCCCAGGCATTTCAGAAAAGATTGTTTGTTCTCTTGGCCTTTCCCAGACCACGCGATGCTAAGGTTGCACACCAAGAGGGATCCTGGCCCAAAGATGGGGTGAGAAGTCTGTGCAGGGCGCGGTGCAGTGACAATGCTCTGGAACGACTGTCAGGTTTGATGGCTGACCAGGATTTCCTCCCTTCCCTCCAGAGCTAATTTTACAGGCACAACCAGTAGCAGGTGCTGCACCCAGGCCCCTAGATATGTCAAGCTGGTGTTTAACAGCTCCTCCCCATCCACAGCTGTTTAAAGTAGGCACCCACCCCACACAAACCCCATCACCATCACCACATCCCCCATAAAAAACACAAACAGAGCTACCTTCTGGAGCCGGGTCCTTTTACTGCTCCGGTCACGCTCTCATGTGAAGGCAGACAGGGCTGTGGTTTCAGCACGGATGGAGATGCCCTGCTCCCTTATACATCTGCAGGCAGCTGGGGGCTTGGCTCACCAAGGACCGACTTGCCAGTGCATCTGGCTGATGATGGTATCCCATCGCAGGGCGCATAGAAGTGCAATTCGATGCACTTTTCCACCCAGCTTCTTGCTCATGTTTGCTCAGCCACCGATTCTCCCTTGGACACATCCTCCCGGTCTCTTCACCCCCAAGGGAGCAGCGTGCCTCATTTGTCCAGGTTGCCGCCTCTCGCAGCAGTTGACCGCCACGCACAAGGGACGTTCCTCGTGTCCTCTCTCAGGAGTGCGCTGGAGCTGGGACTTCGCCATGAGAGTGATCATTCATCAAGGTGATCTCGGGCACCCAGCTTGCTGTCCAAAGTGCAGCCCTGCAAGACAACCGAGAGACTGATTCTGACCCCATCAAAACTTCAGAGCAAGATGGCAAATTACTTTCAGCATGCGATAACATGCCGTCAACACCTGCTGGATCTCACCACATGTTTAAGAGCGTTTTTGAACTGGAGGCATTCGAGGCTACATAAGCAACCCCACGGGTCAGACAGAAACAAGCCGAGAGATGAAAGGCTCCAGTGAAGTCAGTGTGTAGATGCTCAAGCTTATACAAATGCTTTAAGTCTGCCTCTTCTGGGTTGTGATCGGGCACGTAGATGATGCAATGAGACTGTGGGAACTGGCCACAGTAAGGAAGCGACTTAAAAATCAACCCCACCTGACCTAAATGTTCCTCGGTCATTTTTCACAAGCAAGGTGACCCTTCCTGCAAACTGAGCTACCTGGAAACCGTGAGCAACAGCCTAGTCCCTCGCATCAGGCAGCGCAGAGACAAGTTTGCAATGATGACCATTTCTGGCCGTCCCGCTAGTAAAAAAAAAAAAACGAACAAGACTATTTTTCCTTTGATCTTTTTTGGCATCCAAGGTCCCTGCCAAGCTAGAGACCAATGTAGCGGAGGCTCCAGGAAGGTCCAGGGGACATGGGCTGGTATAAACCACTGACCTCTGTTAGACCAGACCAGGAAGGACTCATGACCACCCAACAAGCATGGGTTTTTCCATTCACCATAAACACGGCCAAATGCTAAAACGAAGTCAGGCCTGTGCCCACCATAGGTTACAACTCACTTCTCAGTGCCGAAAGCAGCCTATAACCACTACCACCCATCGTGTTTGAATGAGCCCTACAAAAAGCCACAACTCTCAGCCCCTTTCCAGGGAAGACCCGACCCAGCTAGGGTGGGATAATTGTGTAGGGCTGGCTAACATCAGACTCCCCTGCCTCTCAAAGGGGCAGGCGACCTGATCTCACTGAAATCCAGCTGCAGGGCAAGGCTAAAAAAAAAATCAGAAGCTGCAGAGGAAGGGCTGCAGAGACGACCTGCACTGCAGGCAAGATGCACAGAGGTTAAACTCTGCATCAGCTCACGGAGGTAGTGAAGGCTAAGGATGTGGTAATCA